GCTGGTGGTGGCGAGCCTTGCAATCCGTCCGCCCGAAAGCTGATATCGCACGGCAATTCCTGCAAGATTGCGAAGTCCCTTTTGGTGCTGGCCCCGGCTAGGGTGTGACATCCGAACCCTGCCCCCAACCATCGGTTCTCCTGCATCGGTGGGATGCGGGGGCAAGGTTCGGATTTCGCTACGTGCTCGACGAATTCCGAATCCTACCCCCGCCGCCCATCGAGTTGCCTAAATCTCGGCGGCGAGCCCGGTGGGGAAAAGAATGGGGCAGGCCTTCTCAGAAGGCTCGGAAATCACCCGGCCTTCTGAGCAAATTGTCCTAGCCTTCCCCGTATACACGGGAAACTTCTCAGAAGGCGCGAGTGCTCCTGAAAAGTCCAGCCGCCTTCTGAGAAGGCCTTTTCCTTCTCACTTCCCCCTCTCGCTCGCCGCCGAAAACCGTTGATCGGATCGGCGGAGCAAGTCGGGGGGCGTAAAGGTGGGGCAGGGGCAGAGGCGGGGCTGTAGAGAAAACTCGTAAAAAACGGCACGTTACCGAAGGACATGTGACAATCGAGCTGGCTTCGCTCCCTGACCCCACCTGGGGGGAAAAGCCCCCCTCTACGAACCCCCGAGCGAGATCTGGACTTCGCCGAGGGTCCGGGCTTTGCCGCCGACGACGACGACGACGATGACCGGCTCGGGCACGACCCCGCCGCGCGGCGCTGGCCTCGCCCCGTAGGGTGCCCTGGAGCGCCTCGACCCGAGGCCCCGTGCGCCCCCGTGCGCGGAGGCCTCCGGCCCCCGCGGCTCCAGGAGGAGGCGGCCCCTGGAGGCCCCCAGGTGAGACGAAGCCAAGAGGATAATCCAAGGGGGTAACCGACCAGCCATAACTGGGGGAGCTGTGGTCCTTACCCCCCTGGGGGAACCCATCGCATCGATGGGTCCCCCAGGTTGGTAAGGACCACAACTCCCCCATTTGTGGCTGGCCTGGGTAAGGATTCAGATGCGGGAGAATCGCGGCTTGCCTTCACCTTGCCACTGGAGGCCCCCAGGTAAGACACAAAGCCAAGACGAGGATCCAATCGGGCGAGGGTAGATCGAGAATCTCTGAGGTCCAGCGGTTCTGGAGGATGTCTCGGGCGTATGCTGAGGTAGGAGAAATCGCTGCTTGCCTTCACTATGCCAGTGGAGGCCCCCAGGTAAGACGAAGCCAAAACGATAATCACAACGGGTAAGGAAAAATCGGGTTTGGGTTCGGGTTCGGGTTCAAACGAGTCCCTGCACAGAGGCGAAGCCGACCGGCTAGTTACTCGCTGCTCGAGCTTTCCCGTCGCATTCAGGTGGGGGGAAAAATCACTGCTTGACTTCACTATGCCACTGGATGCCCCCAGTTAATACGAAACCAGGTCGAGGGTCAAATCGGGTAAAGATAAATCGAGAATTTCTGAGGTCCAGCGGTTTGGGAAGATGTCTGGGGCGCTACGGCCTTCTCAGAGCGTTCCAGAACGCTCCGAGAGCGCCCCGGAAAGCTCTGCAACGGATCGATCCTCGTCCTAGCCCCGTCCGACCCGCCCCCTTCATCGCCATCGCTGGGACGTCCATTCCCCGTGGCTTGTTCGATGTCGTGCGTGCTTGTTGTTGCCAGATGATCCAAGATGTTCCTCGATGGTCCTCGCCAGAAAAAAAGCACACGTCCGAGCGATGCGCCCCATCCGACCAATGCCTTTCCCCCCCCCCCCCCCGAGGGCCCCAAAACACCACCCGGATGCCGAGACCGACGAGGAGCGGCGGCAGCGAACAGGCCACGACGTCGGAGGCCTCCGCCACTCCCTCCCCGAAGTCGCCAAAGGTTTCTGGAAGCTTCCGGGGCCCCCCACTTCCCGACAAAGCGAAACCACCACGACGTCGGAGGCCTCCGCCCCTGCATGCCCGTGGTCGCCAGTGGTCCCCGGAGGCTTCCACAGCCCCCGCCCTTTCCTCCCGAGAGAGCGAAGACTTCCCCTGGCGACGCACCCAACCCTTGCGCAACTAGAGTGGTCAGAACAGGCTTAAAGCATGGATACACAACACGGCAAGAGCCCGTGTGTCGCCAAAGCTGCGTGGGAGGCTCGCGCGCTGCACGACTCGCAAGACACCGATCGAAAGACAAGGGTGATAGTATCCTAACCCGTTCGAAGCGACAAGTTGTTATGCTCCAGCGCCTTACTTTGCTTTGGGGCATAAGAACTGATATGGCTGCTGATGTTCCCTTGCTCCCCACCTCCGTTTCCGCCGCAGCCGGATTTGACGCAGCAGCGCTTTCGGTCCCAGCCCCGGCTGCGGCGACGCAAGGGACAGGACGATGACGACGACGACGACGACGACGACGATGACGAGGACGTCGAGGGCGAGGACAAGGACGACGGCCACGACCAAGCAGACTAGCCAGACGACCCATTCAGACCGGCCAGGTAGACCAACCACACCAGCCAGGTGTAATCAGACCAACCGGACCAGCCAGCCGTTCGGACCAGCGAAGCACAGACCAGACTAAGCAGACCAACCTGCACAGACCAAGCAGACTAGTCAGACTAGCCAGCCCAACTAGTCAGGTATATCAACCAAACCAGGCAGACCAGCTAGCCGTTCAGACCAGCGAAACCCATACCAAACAAAGCAGACCCAACCTGGCCGGAATCAAGCAGACCAACCTGGCCGAACGAACCAGGCCGGACCTGGACAGTTCAGACCAGCCAGTCAGATCGGCCAGGTAGACCAACCAGACCAGCTTAACTCTTAAGCTGGAGCTTAAGTCCCCAACTTTCAGATTGCTCTGTTGAAACTTGGCGTCCCGCCGTGCTGGTCTGGTTGGTCTGGCTGGTCTGGTTGGTCTGTGTCGTGATGGGGGCATAGGAAGAACGACTGGGGGCGCCAACGCGCGGCCACCCTCCTCAGACGGCTGCACTGGGCCCCCAGTCCTGTATTTCAGTTCGCCCCAAAGGCCCCCTGAGGCCGCCGTCCTGTATTTCAGTTCGCCCCCGAGGCCCCCTGAGGCCGCCGTCCTGTATTTCAGCTCGCCCCCGAGGCCCGCTGTGTCCGCCGTCCTGTATTTCAGTTCGCCCCCGAGGCCCCCTGAGGCCGCCGTCCTGTATTTCAGCTCGCCCCCGAGGCCCGCTGTGTCCGCCGTCCTGTATTTCAGTTCGCCCCCGAGGTCCGCTGTGTCCGCCGTCTTGTATTTCAGTTCGCCCCTTGTCCGCCGTCCTGTATTCCAGTTCGCTCATGAGCAAGAGTAGCCAGACCAACCAGACCAGACCAGACCAACCAGACCCGACCAATGAACGAGACCAGACCAACCAGACCATACCTAAGCTAAGGCTGCAAGACGAAACTCAAACCCGACCAACCAGACCAGCCAGACCAGATGCAAACATAACTGCAATGCAAAACAAGCTGCAAAGAAAAAAATGCAATGCAAACATAAATACATTTCGATCGTCGTGGTGGTTGGCGCTGCCTCGCTGGACCTCTCCTAAACCACTCTCGCCCAGATCATAAGCTAAGGCTGCAAGACGAAGCTCAAACCAGACCAACCAGACCAGCCAGACCAGATAAACAACTGAAATGCACCAATAACTGCAAAGCAAAAAAACATTGCAAAGCAAAGAAACATTGCATTTCGATCGTCTTCGTGGTGGTTGGCGCTGCGTCGCCGGACCTCCCCTAAACCACTCTCGCCCGGATCCTAAGCTAAGGCTGCAAGACGAAGCTCAAACCAGACCAACCAGACCAGCCAGACCAAAGGCAAACAAAAACCGCAATGCAAAAAAAACTGCAAAGCCAAAAAAACACGGCAGTTCAAGACAAAAACTACATTTCGGTCGTCTTCGTGGTGGTTGGCGCTGCGTCGCCGGACCTCCCCTAGACCACTCTCGCCCGGATCCTAAGCTAAGGCTGCAGGACGAAGCTCAAGCCAGACCAGCCAGACCAGCCAAACCAGAGCCAGACTTGCTCTTTGTAAGCTTGGCGTCCCGCCGTGCGCTACACGGCCAAGAACTTTCTGATGGAGGTCTGCGCTGGGCCCCCAGCAGCCTTCTCCCCCCCCCCCAAGGGATAGCGAGGTCTAATCTGGGTCTGGGTGTGACGTCTCTGCGCTGGCCCCCCCCAAGCCCTCGAAGGTGGCGGCGGTTTCGCAGATCGCAGCCCACCAGGGATGGCGAGGCCAAATCCGAGTCTGGGTATGGAGTCGCTGCGATGACCCTCCCAGCAGCCCTTGAAAGTGGCTGCGGTTTCGCAGATCGCACAGCCCCCCAGGGCTGACAAAGTCTAATATGAATCCCCGTGGACCCGCACTGTGCTGGACCCCATCAGCAGCCCTCGAAAGTGGCGACAGCTTCGCAGATCGCAGCCGCCCCAGGGATGGCGAGATGGGAGACAGGCAGGAAGCAGGCTTAAGGCAGGAGGGAAGAGAAGCGGGCACGGAGGGGGAGGAGTGGAGACCGCAGCGCTCTAGCCAGAACGAGAACTCACAACGGGAGGGTTGGGACAAAGACATCATCCTCGATCCTCGAGAAGGACGGCTGACAAAACTCGCACGCCCAACATCTGAGGCAAAACACAAAGGACGACGCCCAGCAGCGCTTGCTGTCCGAAGCCGGCAGCAGCCGTTGCAGGGCAGGCGGCCCGGCGTCTGCGCCAAATGTGCATAGCCCGCGGCGACGCCGACAACGAATCCCGTTCCAGATTCGGTGGCGCAGCCAGGGGGAAGGAAGGTCGCATGGGCGGGCCTCCTCACAAGGTCACTGGCCTCCTTCTGAGCAGCTTTCAAGGCCCTCTCCGAGGACGGGGGCGGCTTCTCAGAAGGCCGGAGGGCTTCTGAGAAGCCCCGCCGCGTTCCGAGAAGGCCTCCCCCCTCTCACTCCCCCCCCCCCCCTGCGCGCCGAGCAGGAAGTGCTGTCGATCTGCGTCCCATCGTAGCCGCCCCAACGTCGGCCACTCCGAACAGCATAGCGGCGGCGGCGGCGAAAAGGGCCGCGGGGCACCAGGAACCCTGCCCCGAGGATCACGGTGGAGGATACCTTCGCGCTCCGCACCATCTGCGCCTCCCCTCGCCGTCGTTGCGTCGTTGCGTCGTTGCCTCGTTGCGCCGCCGCCGCCGCCGCCGTCACCGCCGCCACCGCCGCCGCCGCCGCCGCGGTCGCCGTCGTCGTCGTCGTCGTCGTCGTCGTCGTCGTCGTCGTCGTCGTCGTCGTCCTCATCCTTCTCCCTGGTGCTTTGGTTTTCCTCCTGGAGCCCAACGGCGGCGAACAGGACGTCCAGGACCCCTCTCCTCCAGGACCCCTCTCCTTCACACCGACCCTCCCTCCATCCCCTCCGAGGGGGAGACACGTGAGGAGGCGCCGGCCCAGGCGGGGGCGAACGTCGAGCTGGAATCTGCGACACATCGCCGACAGATCGAAGGCGGGCCCCTCAGAGCGAATCCGCACGTTCCCTGGGCGGCGTGGGCCATCGGGCCCCCCATCGGCGACGAAGCGGCGATTGGGGGCCGATGCGTCTCCCCAACGACGATTGGGCCTGCCCCCACCCACTCCAACTAGGGGAACGAACTCTATGCACCGACGCTTGTTCCGATCCTGCGCTGAAGTTCGCACAGGAGCGCGGATCCTGGTATACACGGGATCCTGGTGTATACATGTTTCACTGCTTCCCGTGGAAAACGGAGGAAAAGTGCACACCGCACCACCCCAACGTCGTCCACGACCCTCAAAGAAGTCTTGGGATTGAGCAAATCACTCGCCAGTGGTAATGTAGATGCTCCAGTTTGGCCGCGGGGCACGGTTGGCCAACGTTGCCCCTGACCCCCCCCCCCTCGGACCATCACGCCAGCGGGGGAGTCGCGGCCCTTCGCCTCGGCGTCCCCGAGCTGGTTGCTCGTGAGACCTGGCCCGACGGGGGGCGGGAGTGGCCCACCGCGGGCGCGATGCGGGAACGGTCGGGGAGGAGTGGGGAGAAGCAGAGGGGGGGGGGGAGTGAGGGGCGGAAGGAGGCGCATGAGGAAGAGGAGAGGGGGGAGGAGGAGGAGGAGGAGGAGGAGGAGGAGGAGGAGGAGGAGGAGGAGGAGGAGGAGGAGGAGGAGGAGGGAGAGGAGGAGGAGGAGGAGGAGGAGGAGGTGGAGGACGAGGAGGAGGAGAAGCAGAAGGCGGAGGAGGGGAAGCAGGAGAGGAGGCAGAGGGTCACCGAGAGGGCGAGGATGACAATGAGCGATGATGATGCTGCTGCTGCTGCTGCTGATGATGATGATGATGATGATGATGATGATGGTGGTAATGATGCTGCTGATGATGATGCTGATGATAATGATTATGCTGATGGTGATGTCAGTGACGACGGTGATGCTGATGACGATGATAATAATGACAATGATGATGATGATAATGTTGGTAATTCTGATGACGATGCTGATTATGATGCCGATGCTGATGCGGATGCGGATGCTGATGTTGATGCTGGTGGTGATGATGTTGTCGGGATAACGCTGTTCATGGTAATGATGATGATGCTGCTGATGATGCGAATGCTGATGATGATGCTGATACTGATGATGATAACGATGGTGATGCTGATGATGATGATGATGATCATCATCATCATCATGATCATGATCCTGATGATGATGTGGATGATGAGGATGATGATGACGAAGACGACGATGATGATGCTGATGATGCTGCTGATGCTGATGTCGACGCTGGGGCTGATGCTGATGCTGCTGCTGGTGGTGATGGTGGTTGTGGTGATGGTGGTGATACTGATTGTGATGAGGATGATGATGATGATGATGATGATGATGATGATGCTGACGATGCTGATGATGATCATGTGATGATGAAGATGATGACGGCGATGATGCTGATGACACATATATTACGATGATAACATTGATGATGCTGATGATGATGCTGATGATGAGGATGCTAATAATGATGATGTTGATGATGATGATGATGATGATGGTGATGATGATGATAATGATGATGATGAGGATGATGATGATGATGGTGATGATGTTACTGATACTGATACTGATGCTGATTATGCTGATGAAAACGACGATGGTGACGATGATGAGCAGGAGGAGGAGGAGGGAGAAGAAAGAGGAGGAGCAGAAGCAAGGAGACGCATCATCCATCTCCTCCGCCTCCCTGGCTCTCCACCGCTGGTCCCACCCGACGATGCCGTTCCCAGGGCCGTTCTCCCGTGTCCCCCTCTCACCCCACAACAGCGCCACGGCTGGGGCCGGCGCCGCCTGAACTTTGCCACAGGCAGCCACTTCCCAGCGTTGTTCGACGATCCCGGAAACGAACAACGGCCTCCGATTGAACGCGGAGAACATTGAGGAGCCTCCGTCCGATTTGTTCAAGAGGTTGGGTGTCTGGCCATCGCCCAGAACGAACGAACGAACGAACGACGCCGGGAAGGGCCGGCGTCCCTGCAAGGGAGGCAGGCGCGCCTCTAGCGCGATGGCCCTCTGAGAGGACTGGGAGGAGAGGACCGGGACCGGGGACCGAGGACCGGTCTGGCCATCGCCCGGGGACGAGCAAAAGACGGGGCTCCCACCTCCACCTCCGCGCCCGTCTCCTCCCGCGGCCCGGTGCGAGCCCTGCAGGCCGAGGCGCGCCGCAGGGCGACCGTGGAGCCGCGGGACCAGCTTGCTGGCCTCCTCCTGCGACTCGCCCTCGTACGGGGTGATCTCCGCGGGCGGCCCCGCTGCCCAGGCTGCTACCGCTTCTGCTGCCGCCGCCCTTCCTCCTCCTCCTCCTCCTCCTCCTCCTCCTCCTCCTCCTCCTCCTCCTCCTCCTCCTCCTCTCTCTCCTCTTCCTCTTTCCTCTTCCTATTCCTCTTGATTTTCCTCTTGATTTTCCTCTTCCTCTTCCTATTCCTCTTCCTCTTGCTCCTCCTCCTCCTCCTCCTTCCTCCTCCTCCTCCCCCTCCTCTCCCCTCCTCTTCCTCTTACTCCTCCCCCCCTCACTCTCCTCCTCCTCCTCCTCCTCCTCCTCCTCCTCCTCATCATCATCATCATCCTCCTCCTCTTCCGCTTCCTCTTCCTCATTTTCTTCCTCTCCTCCTCCTCCTCCTCCTCCTCCCCCTCCTCTTCCTCATCCTCCTCTTCCTCCTCCCCCTCCTCTTGCTCCCCCCCTCTTCTGCTTCATGATCCTTCTCCTCCTCTTTCTCTTCCTCTTCCTCCTTTTTCTCCTTCTCCTCTTTCTCTTCCTCCGTTTCTTCCTTTGCGCATCATGCTGTTGCGCACTGCCTTCAAGACCCAAGGTCCTACTATCCTCAGCCTGCACGTGCACTGGAGCCCAGGACAGGAGGAAAAGGAAGAGACCTGCACACGACGAAAGCCGGGCACGAGTGATGGTCGGAGCTTTCAGCGAACCAACGACAGCGCAGGCGAGGTCGAGCTCGCCTGCCGCCTCCAAGGAACGCAAAGAGGCGGGCTGCACCTCTGTGGTATCGCGCGTAACACACATATCACACACACATCACACAAACTCCCGTTGTGCCCCTGAAAGGCCACGGGGAGGCGCTGGAAAGGCGCCCGACACTTCATAAGTCGTGGCATGAGGTGCTCCACGGCATCCCTGGCGAGACATCCGGCGGACCCCGGATTCCTCTATCACGGCCCCCGCCAGTTGGGATTCTCTTCTCCAACGCCCCCTCCCCCGCGTGGCCGTCCTTCTCGTGGACCCTGCGACTGTGATTCTTGCTCATGGCCCCCTCGACTGAGATTTCCTCTCAGGCGCCCCCACACTGTAATTCCTTCCCATGCGCCCCGCAGCTGGGATTCTGTTTCGTGGGCCCCCCAAATCGGATTTCTTCTCATGCGCTCCGCAATATGAACTCATTTTCGTGGATCCTCCAATTGGGCTCCTTCTCGTGGGGCACCCCTGTTGGGCTCCCTTCTCATGGGGCCCCCACTCGGGGTTCTCTCTCAGATAGCCTGCAGTGGGGATTCCTTCTCATGCCCGTCTCGCGTTCCCCTAGAGATCTGGGACTCCTTCTCGTGGAGCGCAACTCTTTTTCTTGGGCTCTCGGGCCACCGGAATTCCTGGCGGGCGATCTTGGCAACCGCCTGTGGGCCGTTGGGCTGCCTCCGGCAAAACTCTGGCGACATGCCGCAACATGATGACAACAATGCTTTACCTATTGGAGGCCTGGACATGGGCACCAACACCAGCACAGGGGGTTGCCTCCACAGGGGGAACATGATCCTAGATCTCGGTGTTGGTGGAAGTATCTCGGTCACCTTGGAAGCCATCATATTACCACCATCGCCGGGATCGGGATGTTCGTCCCTCGGTGGAGGCACACCGCCGATATTGGTGTTGGTGTCAACCTACAGGCCTGCGAACCTACCCACCTACCCCAGCCTTACTCCGTGTATTGTGGAAGAGTGTGTCGGCAGTCTCCCGCAAACGCAAACGCGAGCCTCAGGAATGTGGCCCGACGCCATGCCTGCGACGCTCCTGACGCCTCGTCCCGCCCGAAGCCGTCTAGACCGCGCTGCTCCGTGCTGGGCGGGATGGAGGTTGAAGCCATCTGATTATCCACGATGGTCCTGGACTGGACCGATCGGCTCTCCCATGCCTCGGGCCTGCGACCGAATTCGCATGGCAGGCTAGAAATGAACGCGACTGTCCATTCAAGAGTTCTGCCTTTGCTCGATTGTACGAGCGGGGGGGAGGAGCACATCAGCTTAAAATCGCGTAGTCTCCTGCGTATGTGCATGGGGTGGGCACTAGACCTGCTCACAGGTGTAGCCAGCGCTGCCTCCTTAAACTTCGGGTCGGTTATGAGTGTGTGGCTTAGTACTGAAACGATGTCCAAGCATCCCAACTCGTGGGTGCCCAAACTTCCTACCTCAAGTGTGAAATACCCCGATCCATCTCGAAGACGTCTGCAAAACAAAAACATCTAAGTCATGCCCTCTATCATGACACTGTCGTCTTTGAACCTAAGGTGCTGTCGAAAGCCCATCGTTTGCCACACTCCCACTATTCGCGCCTCAGCCCAGGATAGGAAAGCAAGATCGGCGACCTCCACACTGTGTGGGAGACCCTGCCCCGATCGCAGAATACTCTCCTCGCTCGCGCGTCCTCGGAAGCCCGGCCCCACCGCCGGAGCGCTGCGATGCTCCACCGCGGCGCGGCTCTGCTCGGGCCGCCGGAGGTCTGGGAGCCCCCCGGAGGTCCGACGTCCCTTTGGGGCCTCCCCGGAGGGCTCCCGAGGCCTCCGGAGGCCCAGGGAGAGCCCGCTGCGCTCAAGATCGCTCGATCCCCGACTCTCGGGCCTCGATCCTCGATCCTCGAACCTCGAGCCTTTGATCCTCGAACTTCGCACCTCGATCCTGAACCCTGGGCCCTCGATCCCCGATCCTCGACCCTCGGACCCCGATCCCCGATCCCCGATCCCCGATCCTCGGACCTCAATCCTGGATCTTCGATCCACGGACCTCGATCCTGATTCCCATCCGGCCTCCCTCCCCCGAGAGGGCTGTGCCGGAGCGGGGCCTCCAGCTCCTCCTTGCAGATGACGCTCGGCGACTCGAGGGCCGCCTCCGCTCCGCCACTCGTCGTCCTCCTCCTCCTGCTGCTGCTGCTGCTGGCGCTGCTGCTCCGACTGCCAGGTCTTGGCCTCATCTCAACGCTCGAGGGCCGAGGAGGGACGTGCTTGGACATTGTTGATGTGTGCTCCCACATGTCTGGCCGATTTGGCCTCTGAGAGCCTGCAGAGGCCCCCGGTCTTGCCCTCACCTCAGTGATTGAGGGTCGAGGAGGGAGGTGATTGGACGTTTTTGATGTGTTCCCACGTTTCTGGCCGGTTCGGCCTCTGAGAGCCTGTAGAGGCCCCCATGGAGCCTGTAGAGGCCCCAATGGAGGCCATGGGGTCAGGATCCGGCGGGGCGGCACTAAGAACTCCCTCCTCCCACTCCTCCTCCTGCTCCTCCTCCTCCCCTTCCGCATCGCGAGGAAATCAGGCCCAGGCAACTTGCTTGGGCACCACTCCCGTACCTCCACGTGGTGCTTGAGGTAGCTCATGCAGCATGTCGACCGCATCAGGGAAACCGGCAGTCGGTCTCGTCAGGGCGCCATGCCGGCAGTGGAGCCGGTCCATGCACTGCAAGACGTTCGAGCACTGCGAGCACAACGACAAGCCCGAGGCCAACGGCAGGCGAGCGCATCTCGCGCCGCACGTCCGTCCGCCTCTGCCGCCCGAGGGCACCCTCTGCCGATCGCTGGGCCCACGCAGAAGACGACGAGGCGGGCAGCGGGCGCGGCGGCGGCGGCGGGCGAGGCCGCAGCTCCGCTCGCGCTGGGACCGACAAGAGCCAGGTTCGACGGCCCCTCGGCAGAGGCGGAGCAGGCAGCCCGAGATCCCAACGGCCGAAGCCGCGGCGGGGAAGCCCAGCGCGCTCGCCTGCAGGAGACCGCGGCGGCAGCCGCGGCGATCGCGGGGGCCGCGGCCCGTCGGGAATCGGTTACACGCAGGAGTGACCGTGGGCAAGGGTTCGGTGGCAACGCATCGGAGCCTCCCATACCATCTTGTCGGCTCTTGCGAATCGAGGCTAGTCGACGCTACATCGACGCTAACCGACGTAAAAGAAACGCTAATCGACGCTCACCGACGCTAACCAGCGCTATCTCATCGACTCCCAGACGCTAATCGACGCTAGAGGCGGAATTAAAAGGATACAGCAGGCTCCCATGATTTGCTACCGAACAAGAATGACCTTTGGTGCGCAGCCCCAGGGGTGGCGTGGGGGAGCCCAACCCAGGCGCGCAGGTTGCTGCTGTCGCCTCGCATGCAGCGATCGGGGGGGACCCCGCTGGGCCCGCACCAGCTGGCCACTCTGGCGTGGGCTCACTCTTACGTGCAGTCGAAAGAAGCGAAGGAGCAAGCAATGACATACTCCAGATTCGTAAGAAAATGCAGGGGATCACAACCTCCCAGCGCTGGACCCCCCTCCCTGGCGCGCGGAGTGCGCAAGGGGCAGCGCCGGAGGCGCCGCCAGGGGGCCCCAGCGCCGATCCGAGGACTCCGTGCGGACCTCGGAGCTTGTATGCTCATGTCCTTGCTTGTTCCCCTAGCATTAGGTCGGGCATGTCCCCTTACAGGCATATTTTGGACGAATATTTCAAAACAGTCAGAAAATGACCCGAAGTAAATAAATTAGCCTGGCGAAGGACCCAACCATATGCAACTGTGAATACCGCAAGTGTGAATATCGTTTTCGGCGGCGCTACCTCTGGGTAGTGGAGACGCATGCGAACACCCCCACTGGGGCCTTCGGTGGAGCTCCCTCTGGGGCTACGAAACGCTGCCCTGGGTAGGGGAACCGCATGCAGGCAGCCCCACTGGGGCCTTCGGTGGAGCTCCCTATGGGGCCACGAAACGCTGCCCTGGGTGGGGGAACCGCATGTGGACACCCCCACTGGGGCCTTCGGTGGAGCTCCCTCTGGGGCTACGAAACGCTGCCCTGGGTGGGGGAACCGCATGCGGACACCCCCACTGGGGCCTTCGGTGGAGCTCCCTATGGGGCTACGAAACGCTGCCCTGGGTGGGGGAACCGCATGTGGACACCCCCACTGGGGCCTTCGGTGGAGCTCCCTATGGGGCTACGAAACGCTGCCCTGGGTGGGGGAACCGCATGTGGACACCCCCACTGGGGCCTTCGGTGGAGCTCCCTCT